ACCATTGACTAGCTGAGGTATGGTCATGGGCGAGACAATTGACTAGCTGAGGTATGGTCATGGGCATGGCCACTGACTAGCTGAGGTATGGTCATGGGTGTGGCCAGGGACTAGTTGCGGTATGGTCATGGATGTGGCCAGGGACTAGGTCCGGTATGGTCATGGGCGTGGCCAGGGACTAGTTGTGGTATGGTCATGGGCGAGACCATTGACTAGTTGAGGTGTGGCCATGGGTGTGGCCCGAAGAGTGCCTGGAAATGAGTGTCAGTTCTATGAACGGACTAATGAGTGACATTTCTCATTTCCAAGTTCTGGGCAGAAGAGGTGGACTCAGGGGCAAGGGACTGCTCTGCTTCTTATCAAACAGTATTGAAAAAATAAATATGTGAAAACCATAGATGTGCTGGACCACAACCACCGCAGTAAGCCACTTTTGTGCCTCTTTCCATGAGGTGGTCCTATTTGTGACTCCTCTACCTCTGTTTTTCTTTTGCCCTGTAGTAGTTCTGTATCTAGTTTTTTGGGGAGGGTTTTACTCCTTCATTCCTCTTTGTTGTCCCCTACTTGGTGTGGCGAAACTAACCTCTCCACTGGGTTATGGAGAAGCCTGATTGCCAGCCTCCTGCCTCATGATTATGGCCCCTCTCATTAGCCCATGCTAAACTTAAACCCCATGGTGATTTGACTGTGTTTGTGGGATCTGAGCGCTGTTTGGATATATTGAGCGCTCAAATCCATGAATGTCGGGGTTCTGTTCAGTGTGATAGGAATTATGTGTTTTTGTGTGTTTTTGCTGTTGTTGTGAATTGAGATGTTTTCTGTGCCTGGAGATGGTTGGCTTGCCACACCCAGTTAAGCCAATTATCTTCAGGATAGAGGATTCTGTGGAAAAGCCATGTTTCAGTTGGTCACAAAGGACTTTGACCTAACTTTTAAACCAATGGAAGGAATTGTCTGATTTTTGAGTATGTCTCTATTTGGAGTATGCTGATTCTGGAAAATGTAAGTTTTATGTGAATGTGATGTATACTTTTAAAGTTATTAAAATTGTGTAAAACTGTGTATTTTCCTGCTTGTGATAATTACGTTAGCGTAATTATGTTACAGGCAGATTGGAGGATTTTGCTGGAATGAATGGGAGTGTTTATCTGTGTTGTATGTTTTGATTGGATGTTCTACAAAACCCTGTGGGTGGGACTTTGTCTGTAAAATGTGTATATAAGGCCAATAAAGACACAGCTCAGTCTGTTCCTGCTTGACCCTCAACACAGAGCTTTGTCTCGTTCTTGGGGGGATTTATTGTATGCTGTTCCAGTTCGACTGCTAGGAGTGTAAACCTATTCGTATGGTGTGACGAGACCAATCTCGCCACATTGCATTGGAGGAGCCTGGTTGCCCACCTGCTGCCTTTGGATTATGGACCGGCAGCTAAAGGGTTAATTTTACTGTGCAGAAGGATTTATTTCTCCCTTTCTGCACAGCCGTTCGGTAGATTCTATCTACCGAACAAACAGTTTATTTTCAGCCTCCCCAGAGCCATGGGAAGCCGGCCGGCGACCTTAATTGGCCACCCAGAAGCTGGCGTGTGCCCTCCATTTACCTCCCTGAAGCCGCGGTTAACCGTGGCTTAACGAGCGTGTGCCGGCAATTGATCACCCAATAGCTGCGGTTAACCGCAGCTTAATTGATTGTTACTGGGTGGTCACAGTTACACTTAGCCGCCACACGATGGCGGTGTTCTGGAGCTCCCTGGGCAGCCAGCGCTTTTCTGCCCGGCTTTCCTACATCAAACCCGGACACTTTTACGTGCAGGCACCGCTGAACCTCCATCCCCTGGTTCTAATTCGTACGGATTTAACGAATGCATGTAAATTCGGTATTTTGTGTTGGGGGAATGTTTTAACCCAGATAGCTATGCCATGGAGCCTGTTCGTGGAATTAAAGACTTTGGCTCCATGGCAATTAAACTGTATTCGTGTGGTCTGAGTGCCATTCACCTAATAATGTGCACTCAGACCTGAGCCATCTGGGGATATGTTACATGTATATATTTACTGTACCATTTGTCCCATTATGTATTTTAAAGTGATAGTCTGTCTTTGTGTCCCCACGTGTGTAATGGAGTTTTGCCTTTGTCCTGGGAGATAATTGAATTACTTCTCCAGGGCAGAGGGAGGAAGCCAGGATGCATTGTGGGGATGTTTTACTTCTGTATGTCTGTAATTGGTACATGTCTGTCTTTTGTTACAGTCTTCCATCTGGTCCCCTAGAGGAGTGTCCACCAGGTGGGAGACCTGCATAAATACTGGGCAGGTAGCCCTCATTAAACAGACAACTGCTTGACCCTCAACACAGAGCCTTGTCTCGTCTTTGGGGGGGATTTACTGTATGCTGATAGAGACTGATTGCCAGGAGTGTAAGCCGCTTGGGTGCTTTTCCTGTTCGTCTGCTAGCAGCTATTCGTGAGGTTCCAGTTCGAGTGTTTGGAGCATTCCCTTGTATGCAGTTCGAGTGTTTGGAGCATTCCTTTGTATGCAGTTCGGGTGTTTGGAGCATTCCCTTGTATGCAGTTCGGGTGTTTGGAGCATTCCCTTGTATGCAGTTCGGGTGTTTGGAGCATTCCCTTGTATGCAGTTCGAGTGTTTGGAGCATTCCCTTGTATGCAGTTCGGGTGTTTGGTGCATTCACTTGTATTCAATTCGTGGGTTTTGGTGATTCTACAGTAGCTGTGCCTGTCTCTGAAAGGGGATTATCGTCTAAACGGTTTTTACCCCTTTTGTGCAAAACGGTCCGTTACATATGGTTTTTCCTATTCGGCTGTTTACAGCATTCTTATGTTTGCGAGCATTCGTATGCTTCTCCTGTTCGGTGGATTGGTGTCTACAGTAGCTGTGCCTGTGTCTCTGGAAGGGAATATCTCCTAAACGGCTTTTAACCCCTTTTATGCCTGTGGGTGCCGTTACACTTGGTTTGTGATATTTTTCTGTTAGTCCATCTACTAAAAAATAAAAAAGCTTTCTTTGTAATTAGACCACTTCCTGGTGTCCACATGTTGTTCTATATTTTAAAACACTTGGACAGTTTTACATGTCCATCTTCTCTGTTGACTGAGATCATCTTCACAAGTATCACAGATGGCGGTCTCTCCCTTTGTGTACTGGTTTTGGAGCCACTTTCAAATCCTCGTCCATGACTAGTACTGGTCACCTGGAAAAAAAGCTTGGATATGTGTTAAAAAAAAAACAACAAAAAACTCTAGGAGAACTGTACTATATTATTATTGTTAATAAAAAGGAAAATTATTTTGATTAAATTTTGGTAAGTATTTTATTAATAAAGTTTATAATTATAGCTGAAAACAGCAATGGGGGTGGCCAAGTCAGGATATAGGTCACAGGTAGATACTGGAGATAGAAAGGTAAAGATATGTTTTTTTAGTAGGTATTAAAAAAATGTGACAGATTAATAATAGTAATAATAACACCGTTAAAGGAACACACTGTGAAGAAATCCCCCTTTTAGTACCCTATTTCTGCCTATTGCATTCGGTAGATGTAACTACCGAACAAAGACCACCCCCCTGGCTCATTAAACATCAAAGATTACTTCAATTGATGCCTCTGTCTGTGCGGCCAGCGTTCGTCTGCCGAACGCCACATGGCAGAGAAAACCGCGGCCATCTTTGTTCATGCGAACAAAGGCAGCGGGACTTGGTCGTCGAGTGTATAGAACTGAAATCGGACACTCGACTTCCCGAACACCGGTCTCAAACAGACGAACGCTGGAACTCTACTAACCGAATAGCTAAAAGAGCGCTATTCGGTACTTTAGTGCATTCGACAGAGGGGGACGATCGCTGCTAAGAGCCAGAGGGATCCATTCGGTAGTTTGTTCATTTTTCTCCTTTTTCTAAAGTGACTGGCAAAACCCACCAAACTCATGGAACTGTTTTGGGCATACAGCCCAGGGTGAGCCGGTCACAGAAGACCTCCATAGTTTTTGCGAACCCCTGAACCGATCTGGGTGAAATTCGAATATGTTGGTCACCCAGATCAGGGCTATCAGGGGACATGTTATTTGTGGGGATACGCCAAGTATAAAGGGGTGTCCCAGTTATTGGGGAAAAAGCGTTATTGGGGAAAAAGCGTTATGTATAGATTTGCAAGTACCAGAATTTTAAATTGAACCATGAATCTTATGGGTGATTTGGATTGGAACTCAACTGCAACTTGTAAAACTCCCTAATTACACTAGTGAAGAAACGGAGAATCTTTAAAGTATCAATAATGTAGCTTTAAGAAAAGAGAGAATTGCTGGGAACTTGATTCAAACGAAGTTTAAATAAGTGTTAAACTTAAATGAATTGCATTTAGGCAATAATCCAATAAGAAGAAGTGCAATTAATCAACAACACAAAGTTCATTAATTCCTCAGAGATGCATTAAGTAACATTCTTTAGGTTAATGAGAATAATCTTCAATAGTAACTTTAAGCAAGTAGCTGAGAATATTTGCAAAGCAGGAACAGTTCATAGTAAATAAGTATGATGGGAGTTGTCCTGCATATAATTAGTAGCTTGAAGCAATGGGTGTATTTGCAAAGCAAGAAACAGTTCATAGTTAATAAGCATGATGGGAGTTGTCCTCCATATAATTAGTAGCTTGAAGCAGTGAAGATTTAGTAAGCAAGCATTAGTTCCTTATTAAATGATATTGTAGACAAATAGCTGAAAGTTATACTTAAGGAATCTGAGTTGTCCTCCAACAGTTTAGGGCTATGGTCCACTAGTAAAGTAAGTGAGTTTCTGTTCTCCAGTATTCCTCTGTGACATGAAGTATACTTGTCTTAGTCCAGAAGGCTAGGATGACTTCAGAGCTTGTAGAGCCGGCGTGTCCCAGGAGCCGGCGTGCATATTCGAAAGTAGGACCCACAATGCCCCCCAATGACTGTGGAGAGGTAAGTATGGCGGAAGTAGTTCCCAGTATCACCCAACACCCTCTCTCTGGCGCGGTCTCCCTAAATACCGTTAGAGCTGCGTCAGAGGGGGGCGGGGTCCGGCTCCGCAAAGCAGAGTGCCAAACCCGGAAGTGTTACCGCATGACAGTGGGATGCCAATGCCGACTGAGAGAGAGGGGAGGCGTGGGAGGTGCGTGCTGACAGGAAGATGAGCTTTTCGCCAAATTCATTATAGACTGTAATGGAGCAAGTTGGGAACAACATAAGACCACTGAGGAGAAAATTGCAATAGTCAAGGCAAGAGAGAGGGCAGTGGCATGGACCAGCACCATAGCTGTATCTGGCATAAAATAAGGGCTGATGCGTGCTATGTTTTTGAGATGGACGTAATCTGGCGATCAACTGGGCATGAGGGGTGAAGGAGGGTGTGACGGTCCGCCTGGCACCCCAACTGGATGCCTCCGCCACAGGCTCTTCCATCGCCAAACCAGAATTTTCCACACTGACTCTTCCTGAAGAATATATAGATCCTTTGCCAGAGTGGGAGTGCCATCTTCGTGTATGGTGGGTTGAGTGGATCAGTTCACCACCAGTGAATCATTGTCCCGGACGGCGGCTGCCGGCACCCTTGGTACATCCTTAGAGTGGGTGCCAGTAACGACCGGGGTGGGGCACTTTCTGCGTCTCCTTGGTCGCTGGTGAAGTGGCAGAGTAGTAGCTGTGGCCGAAGGGGGTAAGCAGTCCGGGAGCAAGTTCTTTGCTTTAGCCCCTTGAGCCCGGTTATGATCTGGAAGAAGTAGCTCTCCATGGGCCCCAAGTCGTTCCCCAATAACACATCCACAGGAAGGCATGGCAACACTCCCACCTCCCTGTATCCACAGCCAGCCCCACAGTCCAGCCACACACGGGCCATAGAAATAGCAAGTCCCCCTCCGCCAGCAATGGCAATCACTTTGGGTAAGGGCAATCGCGGGACACCTTGCAAGAAATAAGGCTTAATAATAGTCAAGCATGCCCCTGTGTCTCGCAGTCCTTCTGCAGGAATGCTTAGGTCATCTCTGGGCCACTGTGTGGTCAGTACCGGCATCACCCCCAAGGACCAGTCCGAACAGTCCTGGTACTGGTCCACCTCCACTTCCTCTGCTGTCCCAAAATATTCCTCAGGACCCCAATCTCCCACCATCTGGACCAGTGGAGCCAGGTGAGGGGTTTTTAGTCAAAGAGGATACCTAAGCAGCGAGCCTATGAGGGAGAGCTGAGGGTAGTGCCATTGACTTGAATGGAGGAAAAGACAAGAAGTTCTGTTTTCAAAAAGTTAAGTTTAAGGAAATGAGCAGCCATCGTGTTACAAATAGAGAAAGGCAGTCAGACAACGAGTCAAGAGGGACGATGAGAGATGAGGAGAGGACAGATATATTTGCATATCATCTCCATAGAAAACATGTTGGAAGCCGATGAATTTATCAAGGGAGGCAGAATAGACCGAGAACAGTAGGGGACCAAGGACCTTGGGGAATACTGACAGAGAAGGATTGCGGAGAAGAGGAAGAGACAGAGAAAGAAACACTGAAAGACATGAGAGAGGTAATTCTTGAATACCTGCTCTGACAATTGGTGGGATCAACTAGAAAAAAGGGTACAATCGTCAGCTCTGACCATGATGGGAATGAGGGCCAATGTAGATAACCACTCTTCACCTTGTAGTAACAAATTTGTGGAGAAATATATAAATTCTGAGTTTCTCCACAGTATGGTCCACATCACCTGGTTTATACTTACAAAACACACCTTATCTTCGTGTGGCATCTGCAAAGCATTGTCTGGGTCAATAATTTATTCTTTCCTGCTTGTAAGCATGATGATCTGTTGCTAAATTCACAGGTTTGTAAAAGGTCTTTGCTGGTGCGGTTTCCACAGATATTCACACTTAAAAAGTAAATGGAAGGCATCCAGGCGTTTCCTGATGGGTTTGCAATAAATAACTGCGTGGTATGCTGTTGAAAATCTGTAATGAATGATTATCCAGGGTCCATGATTAATTGCAGAGTTCACAGTTGTGACAAAACCCCATATTTATTTGTCCCAGTTATTTTTCTCTGCGTTCGGTAGACTAATGTACTGGACACCGACCACCCCTGGCTCATTTAACTTCAAATAAACCACGAACCAAAGTGCTCTCTCTTTGTGGCCGCCGTTCGTATAACAGAACAACACGTGTGCTGGAAAAAGGTGGCCATCTTGTCTCCCGAAAGCAGGCAGCGGTACCTAGTCGTTGAGTGTCTGGAACTCTAAAGCGGACACTTGACCCTGTGAACACCGGTGATTTGGTACAAACGCTTGCTTCTTTCCATGACAAGCCAGGAGAGCGCTGTTCGGTAGGATGGTTCATACGAACAAGGCGAACAATCACTAGCTACGAGCCAGAGGAACTGTTCGACTTTTGGTTCGTTTGGGAACTCCCAAAGGGGACCGACATCTACCATTGATTCTCTGGAACTGATTTCAGCAGACGCCACGTGTGCGGTTAGTCAAAACTTTACCCAGGTGGCAATTCGGATGTGTTCGTGAGATCTGAGAGCTTTTTAGATATGTTGGGCGCTCAAATAGAGGCTATCCAGGGATATAATATTTGTGTGGGTTCCTATATGTGCTATATGTGTTTTGGGGTATTTTATGTTTTATACTTTATAACGCTAGTGCCTGGGAGATAATTAGTTTAAGCAAAGTACACTAAATTATCTCCCAGAAACAGAGACTCCTGGGCATGTTTTACTATGTCTATGCTTGAGACCCCATGCTGGGGGTCTGTGTATATAAGTGGGCCATCTAGCCATAATAAAACATTTCAGTTGTACCCTTCATCAAGTCTCGTCTGATATTTGGGCATGCGAAAGACAAAGCGATTGATTTGTTCTCACAACCTGCTTAAATTTCGGGAGAGTATTAACTAGTGTACTAGGTGAACGGGCTATAATCACTTAAGCCTCTAGCATTTTGGGAATGTGCGAATGAACGTACTTCATGAAGTACATGAGATTCGTTACAATAGTATTCAACACTTTTTTTAATGTAAAAAACTGAAGCCGTGATGGACTTTAAAGAAAGTGGGATTTTGCATGTGCAGTTTAAGTACCATTGTCTCATCAGTTGGTCCACATTGCACATTAGATATTCAAATGTCACATTTTGTATCAGCAAACTGCCTTATTTTATGTAAATAACTGTTGATTTGCTGATACTCAGATCACTAGGAAACATTAGAACAGGGCAGGGAGGTTGCCTGGTTTCAGAAACACCTGGGGAGTGAGCCAATGGAGAACTTGATGACCCCTACCGTGACAGAGAAGTAGACATAGCCTTTTTGCTTCTATAGTCCCCGCAGATGGGTGGATAGATGGCCCAATTGGCTGTCATCAGTCAGAACAGCTTAGGTTGCAGTGCACTTTATGTGCTAATTTTCCATATCACAGAGCTGATCAACATCTGAACATGAAAGCTTCTAGCATATTCACTAATTCATAAAATAATGTATTTAACTATAAATGTCATTAACAAAAAAATTAATTCAAAAGCAATTTGAATGTATATACAGTATGTGTTTTTAATGTCTTTTTGGTAATCTTGATATATATATTTTTTTAATTGATATTTCAGCAGATCACCTGTACCAGGCTCCCATGGTGCTAAGCCAGCTTCATCATTAAGCTCATTATTGTAAATTACTGCCAGAAACAGATGTAAGTGGATATATCCATTAGCATGCGTTCCCACATCCCATCTCTTCTCTCTCCACATCCCAACCTAGCTCCCTTTCTCATCCTGTCTCCCCTTTCTCCAGCTCTTCTTCTCCCTCATCCCATCCATCCCTTCTCCTCCATTTATTCCTGTATTTGTTTGTCAAATTGTGTCTCAGATGTATTGTAGCTTTGTCTTTTTTAATGCTACCAGTTGTGCTTTAGAAATCTGGCTCTGTTTGTCTGCAACTTTCTCCCCCTCTCCCTCCTTCTGCCCTCTCTCCATTCCCTCACTCGCTTTCTGTCTCCTTGCTTTCCCATCTCCCCCTCTCCATTCCTTCTCCACATGCCACAGACTGATGAAATAAATGAAAGATCAGGGAAGTTTTGCTGAGTTGGGATTGAAGCTGCTATAGAGTGAGTCATGAGCAGGTATGAGTCATACAGGGTGGCCTTTTTCAGTTCAGCTTGGAACACTGCGGAAAGCCTGCTAGACCTGCATCTCTCCCATGTTGCAGCCAGAGACTCCTGTAGGGGTTAGTGGGAAGGGCAGCACAGAGCCCCCAGTTGTAGGGCTACCCCTTAAATCCATTTCAGGTCCCGACAGTATCTGGATAAATAGTGGGAGGTAGCCAGGCACATCTGGATAAATAAGGGGAGTCAGCCAGCTGTATGTGAATATATTATATATATATCTATATATATATATATAGATGTAAAAAAGAAATAACATTTGTATCTTATAATGCCTTTTTCATTGGACTAACAGAATTTTTTTTTTTTTTAATTCTGTTAGTCCAATAAAAAAGGTATTACAAGATACGAATTGTATCTGTTTTTTTACATCTACATCACTGGACTAATACGGCTACAATTTCAACACATATACATTGTAAAGGATCCTTCTATTCGTGCAGTGCTGATTCTTGTAGCTTATCCCGAAATCCAGCTGAAACAAAGTGATTATAACTTCCAATCCCCCAAACATGAGTCGAGACTTCATGAAGGGGTAAAACGATCTGATTTAATGGGGCTACCTGCCCGGTATTTATGCAGGTCTCCCACCTGGTGGACACTCCCCTGGGGGACCAGATGGAAGACTGGGACAAAAGAATTACAGTAGCCAATCGCAGTGGCTCAAACATAAGCACTCCCCTTTGCATAGGTAAATCCCTCTTCTCTATCCTGGAGATAATTAACTTAAGTTAGTAAAAGAAACCTTAATTATCTCCAGGTAGAGAAAAACATATCTTTTTATATACTCCCAAAACAGTATTAGAATCTATAACTTATATTTTACTGAACATAACCTTTAAGTCCCACATACCCCCAGATAGCTTGGATCTGAGCGCACATTATATGCGAATAGCACTCAGATCCCACGAACACAGTTCTCAATATCGTCGAATGAAGTTTGGACTTCACCGGTGGTTCGCGTGTTTGTATCCGAGAAAGAGTTCCATAACTGTAGCTATCTGGGGTCGGTCTATTTCGCATCGCATAAAAGTCCCGAACGGTGAAATGTTCCCGGCATTCGTGAACGGATGCCATATGAACGGGGACCTTGGTAGGTACCAGCGGTGTTCGGCGGAATAAGTGTCCGAAAA